CCCCAAAAAAAGAAAAAAAAATATATAAAATTTTATATATATATATTATATATATGATAAGATTAAAAAAAACCTATTAAAATGAGAATGATGGGGACTGAATTTAAAAAATCAAGATTTTGGGACAACAGGTTGGGTCAGTGGAGCATGCAATGCCTGATCTCGGGGGTTGTGAGTTTGAGCCCCACGTTGGCATGTGGAGATCAATTAAAAAAATAAAAATAAAAAACCGTCTTATTGGTCGTTTCCTTGGAGAACTCTGATGCAACCAACACCATTTCAGAACCGTTCAGTCATCTCAAAACGATACTCTGTACCCATGAGCAGTCCCTCCCCACGCCTCCACCCTGGACCCTAACAGTCATCTACCCCGTGTTTCTAGGTGTCTGCCTATTCCGGGCATTTCCTATAAACGGTCATAAAGCACACGACCCTCGCGACTGCCTTCTTTCCCACAGCATGGCGTTCGCGCGGCTCCCCGGTCTCATCACCGCCAAGTAACCCCCGCGGGATGGGCAGGCCACGTCTTGTGAATCCACTTACCCGCTGACGGGAAACGTGGGTTGCGGCTGCCTTTCGGCTGTCAGGAATACTGCCGCCGGGCACGCTCGTGTCTTCGTCTTGCGTGGACGTTTCTTCCCTTTCTCTTGGGTCTATACGTAGCCGCATAATTGCTGGTCACGTGGTCACTCCACGGTTAACTTTTTGAGGAGCTGCCAAAATGTCTTCCCAAGAGGGCGGTACCAACAATTCCGAGCAACACTGCGTGAGGGTTCCAGTTTCTTTGTAAACACTCCGATCCTTTAATTAAAGCCCTCCTACTGGTGAGAGGTGCTTTCTTCTTACGGTTTTCGGTTTTCATTTCCGTTTCCCTAATGACTAATGATATTGGGAGCATCTTTTCATGTGCTTATTGGCCATGAGCACATCCCTTCTGGAGAAGTATCTACTCAAATAATTTACGCATTTAAAAAGCTGTGTTGTTTGTTTCTTTAGTATTGAGTCGCAACAGTTCCCTGTATGTACGGGTTTTTGGATACAAGTCTCTTAATTGATAAGATTTCCAAAGATTTCTTCTGTCCTGTGCATTGTTTTTTCAGTTTCTTGATCGTGGTTTTCAAAGTTTTAAATATTGACTAAGTTCAATTTGTCTGTTTGTTGTCATCGCCTAGGATTTTGGTGTTATAGCTAAGCAATTATTGCCTAATCCAAGGTCACGAAGATTTAAGGCCTATGTTTTCTTCAAGAGTTTTATGGTTTTAGCAGTTATATTGTAGTTGATGATCCATTTTGGATTAACTTTTTAAATGGTATGAGGCGAGCATCCAACTATCCAGTTACCATAGAACCATCTATTGAAAACATCATGCCTGGGGTGCCCGGGTGTCTTAGTTAAGTGTCTAACTCTTGACTTCAGCTCAGGTCCAGATGTCATGGTTGTGAGATTGAGGCCTGTATGCTCTGTGCTGGGCGTGGAGCCTGCTTGGGATTCTCTTTCTCCCTCTGTCCCTCCTCGGCTTGTGTGCATGTGCTTTTTATCAAAGGAAGGAAGGAAGTAAAAAGGGGAAAAGAGAAAGAAGGAAGGAAAGAAAGAAAGAAAGAGAGAGAGAAAGAAAGAAAGAAAGAAAGAAAGAAAGAAAGATCGTGCTTTCCCCATTGAACTGTCATGGCATTCTTGTAAGAAATCAATCAACTACAGGGGCGCCTGGGTGGTCAGTTGGTTAAGCGTCTGACTTCAGCTCAGGTCATGATCTCAAGGTTCGTGAGTTCGAGCCCCTTGTTGAGCTCTGTGCTGACAGCTCAGAGCCTGGAGCTTGCTTTGGATTCTGGGTCTCCCTCTCTCTCTGCCCCTCCGCCACTTGTGCTCTGTCTCTTTCTCAAAAATAAATAAATGTTAAAAAAAAAACAGAAAAAAAAACCCCAACTGAATATAAATTTAAGGGTATAATATACATTTTGGTAAATATTTATCATGAAAAGTAAAATTTTATTTGAAATGTACTTCTGTAATGAGATAAACAATCCTGATTTCCTTAAACATTTAAAAAATGTATTTATTTATTTTAATGTTTATTTATTTTTGAGACAGAGAGTGTGAGCAGGGGAGGGACAGATACAGAGGGCGACACAGAATCCGAAGCAAGCTCCAGGCTCCGAGCTATCAGCACAGAGCTCAACGCAGGGCTCGAACCCACAAACCGTGAGATGATGACCTGAGCCACAGTCAGATGCTTACTCGACTGAGCCACCCAGGCACCCCATCCTTAAACATTTGAAAATGAACATTATTTTCCATTTATTCATTCTGACTCTATCAGTGGTAAGATGCACTATTATTTTATCATATAACTACTTTATTCATATAATACAGCAAAAGGCAGAGATGAACCCAGGTGTGGCGAACTCAAAGTCCTGCTCTTTGTTTACATGACACTGGAAATGACCCGTTCAGAACAAGTGACTGACCCACCACCCTATCCTAACCATACAAATACTATATGAATGACAAAATGGCAGTGTCGGGGAAAAAAAATCTGTCATCCAACAGCCTGATTTCAAACTCTGTTTCACAGGAAAAAAGACCTACTCCACTTGGGAAGGTTCCTCCATTATTTACTCACTTTGCAGACCACTGGGTACAAATTAGTCTCAGACACTGAAGTAGGGACGCGGAGACAAAACCTTTATTTCAAGAAAAGGACTTCCATTCTGGATCTCTTAACCACGCTATGTGCCAGAAATGTGAGAGAAATATTGGCCTATTATTCTTCCCATTTTCCTTGGAGTGGACCAACATACCTTCATCCCCTTGAATCGTTAGAGCTTCATTCTAAGATTTAAGCTAGATCCCAGCCAGGACAAAACCAGGAAGACTAAAATGGTCATGTTTTCCTTCATTTATTTTTTTTAGGGGAGTTGGGGGACAGAGAGAATTCCAAGCAGGTTCCACACTCTGTGCAGAGCTCGATGCTGGTCTCGATCCCACGACCCTGGG